TACTCTCAGAGAAAGAGAGGCTTGGCAGGGATTTAGCTTACAACATGTTTGCCAAGTATCCCAGATAAAGCTGCCACAGTTAGTCCTCACCAGCCAAACAACATCTAATGATGTCAGAATGAGCCCTGGTCAAACAGCCCTGGCAAGACAGAGCCTTTGAACATCCGGGTGGAGCCTGTCTGTCTGCAAGAAAGTGCCTGACCCAGAGGTCATTGCCACTTCATTCCCACTTTCTCCCCCCATTCTTGTTGACAAACTCATTGCTGGAAAGAGATGGATGCACAACACAGACCTTCTGTCACAGCCTGGAAGAGCATCCTGGGGCAGTGAGCTGATGCTGAATGTTAACCGTGGATGGCAGCCGCTGCCATGCTTTGCTTTTACAGGAGCTTTCGTTTCTTGCTGCCTTGCTGGAGCACAGTTCACAATCTCTACTTGTCATTGTGCTCTTAGAAGCTCCTGTGTTTGTGGTAAGAGGAAGGCGGGCGAGGGTAGGAAGCAATAATAAAATACTAAACTTGGACAAAGCATTCATGAGCTAGATGAGAGAAGAGTTTCTTCCTGTGTCTGGTTTTGTTCGACTTCCAAGTCAAGCATTCTGAAGAAAGAGAAAAAATAGTGTCATTTATTATTTATCACATCAGACAAGCATAAAGTGATACTCTAAAGCTTTTATTCAGCTGCTTATGGCAATTGCCAACATAGTAAATTCCCCTGCCAGGAGATTTCTGCTTGAATAATGAACATCCATATAAGAATGGCACTAGAAACTCAAGGCTGAATAATCTTGATTCAATCCGGGAAGAAGGACACAGAGTGAGCCCCCTTCTTAAGAGTTTGAGGGACTGACAGAGGTGCTGAACTGCAGAGTTTTAATCCAGGCAACATGCCACTGAGAAGCAGCAATGCCCATCTCACTGAGGACCTCAGTTTTCTGAAGCTCTCCACCCATGCTCAGACTCTGCAATCATCACTCTGATGAAACGTGTTAGGGAACCTGACCCTTCAAATAGCTGTTTTATTTACACGGTGCCTCACCAGGTCCCAGAGAGCTTATGAAAAATTAAACGGAGAACATAAAATATGAATGGAATGATCATTGGCCCGTAAGAGCCCTGCAGTTCTTGAAAGACGTTTTACACATAACGAAGGCTGCATTTTAGAAAACAGGTTTCTGCCTTTTTTCCACAGATGGTGCAACAATTTTCAAGCCTCTGTGTAAAATGAGGAACTTTCAAGGATGTACCTGGGAAAGCAAGGCACATTGCTGCCTCAGGCAGCACAGGAGTCCACTTCCCATTAGTAAACAGTAAGCAAACTAAGCAGAGCCAAATATATGGATAAAGTGAAAACACATGGATGTTTAACTAGATGCTGCATTGTCAAAGAAACTAGGGCTGAAAGAAAAGATGAACATTTTGATCAGAACTACAGGACTCATCCTGCAACCACATGGTGACAACAACTCTCAACTTAAATTCTGCCCAGCAAATGCCCTGGTGAAGCACCTCCTCTGCAGACTGTATGCTCCCTGGGGTGGTCACCAGCATCTCCTGTCTCAGCTGCAGCACTGGAAATGCTTAGCACTGTGCAAATGGATGGGGAAAGGGGCCAACTGCTCCCTCCTGAGCAGGCTCTGCGGTGATAACCGTGGTTCTGGCCCTGGATCCTACCCCCAGCAAGGGCATTTAGGAGCGAACAGGCTTTTATTTTGGTTTCCTTCAAGGAAATATGGTTGGGTTTGTTGCGTGGTTTCTGCTTGTGGTGAAATCTGCCTCCCATCCTGCGTGTATAGCAAGGCCAGCAACTGCAATGAGCAACAAGCTTCACAAACTGCCACCTGCATCGTTTTGTTTTGTGACTCTCCCTGGCCTTTTATCAAAGAAGGATGAGAAAGGAGAAATTACTAACTTCAGGAGAGCCCTGTCTTCCTTCTAAGGTAATCTGGGAAAGGATCTGTTACATAACAGCACTTCTTTAAGCTTTCAGCTGGATACCTGACAACCTTTCTTATCTACAAGGGCTTGAAATGTTTGTGTGAAAATGGCTCTCCCTGCCCCCCCTTCCTCCTCCCTCAACTTGCAGGAAGAAAATAGGCATTTGAGAAAAATTCAATTTTTAAATGTGATCCAAATTTCACATCATTAAAACCAATTCAAAGTAAGTACATGGTTTCTTGCTGTATATAGATTAAAGGAATCAGAAGTGACAGTCCCACATCCACACAGGAAAGAGGCTCAAGCACTACTTATTTCTCTACGTTCATAAGGCCCACAAGCTCTATCAACAGCAATATCTATACTAAATAATGCTCTTCTTACACACCAATTACGAACTGTCAGAAAATATACATGTACTCCTTCGTATCAAGACCTACTCATGCAATTTTTAAATGCCACACTGTAAGTAGTGGTACCTATCCTAAGGGCTTCACATATTGGAAGGAGGAAAAACCTGTTATCTACTAGATCATCAATACCAAAAGCTCCATGAATACAGTTCTTTCTTAGGAAATCAGATGGAGAATAAACACCGCTTTTATTATAACCAGGATATCGACTTTCACCAGGGCTACATTTGTTCTGCTTCTGTCTGCGAAGTAATTGATTTCCAAGTCTAGATGCCACATATTTGTAATAATTATCTCTAGTTTAAAGCATTGAAGTACCCCTCTAACCAAGGCAAACATCACAACGGATTTCCAGCTACCAGTGCCAAACCACATAGCAAAACCCACTGCAGAGGAGCCAAATACGCTACAATCAAACAGGACAGAAAACAAAAGCCTGTGAACGCAAGGGAGCATTTCACCTGGAGCAAACTTTTATGGTTCCAACAGAAAGGTGAAGGGGAAATAGGATTGCTAGCAGGAGCACCGACTCTGCTTTGCCTTCCTGATACTTGGGGGTGCCTATGTGTAAGGGGGAAGGGAAACAGTGAGGGACAGTAAGGAGAGAAAAACTGTAGCAGTGTAGTATGAATACAGTGTACACCTAATTAGTAATAGTTTCAGTTCTGTCTGTTATCTAAGCAACTGCAATTAAGGGTTGAACATTTTTCTAACTTTTTATTCTACCATTTAATATAGGAGAAATTGGAGAAAACAAGCTATTTACAAAGCAGGAATCTGCAAAAGCCAGACATCCCTCATAGACACTGACTCTGACTCTCATGTATTTGTTTGTATTTTGTAACAACACAGATTTCTGCTTTGCAAAAAGCCTGTATGGGAACACTTTGTGTACAAAGTAGTTCCCTTCAGTCTTCATGAAAAGACTAAAATAAACTAAGAAAAGCCAACCGCTTGCTAAAGAGGAAAGAGAAATACATAAATCAACAGGGTGAGGCTTTGCACACACCTTGAGGCTGCAATGTACGCTGAAAGAAGCCATCATGCCAGTTCCTGGATCATTTTGTTAGCCTCCTTGGCTTTCTTACACGTGTACAGCCATTTGATTATCCGAGCATTGCGCTCAATCACAGAAGTGCTGCTCGGGACCTGCTCTGTGAGTTCATCCTCCAGGAGCCCCTCGTCCCCGCTGTGCCTCGTGAAGTCGCTTTCGGACGTTGCCACACTGATGCTGCGGATCTTGAAGGAGATGTTGTCGGACACCACGGAGAAGTTCTCTCTCCCGAGATCCTCGATGACCTCCTGATCCAGGCCACAGTACTTGAAAAATGTATCAAACTCGGAGAAAGACTTGGAATAGCGAGAGCTGATGTCCGACTGGGAGCGATGGAGACCTCTCCTCTTCACCTCCTTGACCTCCTCAGGAGGTATACTCAGTTTTGAGGGTCCCTCATGCTCTTTTGTACATACCCCTGGTGTTTCAGTGCTCATAGTCATGGCTTGCTCCGCTCCATGGTTGCTCAGCTCACGGTCACTATCTTTCTCTGAGAGAGTCTCTTTGCTCTCGGTGGCTGCGGTGTCCTCCATGACTCTGGGCATCTCAGGGGAAGCCAGCTGCTTCTCCTTTACAGACCCTTGGAAGATCCTCCTCACCAAGCTCCCCCGTGAGCTGTCCTGGCTTTGACCTCTCCCGAACTCGCATTTCTGACGGTAAATCACCAGGGAGTCCGGCCGCATCTGCCTCCTGGGGGTGCTGCGCCTGGCTATGGGGGGGGCGTGCTGCAGGGGCGCCCGGCAGGCGTACACCGCCTTCGACAGCTCCAGCGGCTTCGCGCCCTTCCCTCTCCCGAAGTCCCTGCTGGGTTTCTGGCTCTCCACCGAGCAGGTCTCGCTGCCGCTCTCCGAGGCTGAGCTCAGCACGATGACGGGCTCCTGCGTGGTGCTGATTACCCTCTGGCTTTTTACGTACTTGGCCTTATCGGCTGCTAGCCTCTCCACGGCACTTCTCCTGCCGGGGTTGCTGGCCTCCATCTGCCTGCGGAGGTACTCGGGCCCCTTGTTAAGGAGCCGCAGGGTGAGGGAGGAGTGCAGGTCGGAGATGGCGTGCATTCTCACGGCCCTGCGGAGTTCAGTTGGCATAGCAGTTCCAGGGGCGCGGGTCCTGCTCCCAGTCCTGGCTGGGAACGGGGAAAAAGAAGAAAAACACCGCAGAAAAACTCTACTAAAAGAAGGGAAAAAGGCAAAGGCTCGAACACACCGCGGGCGTCCCGCCGAGGGCCCAGCTCCCGCGCGCACCCGCCGCTGCCGTCGGGGCGCCGCGTGTGCGCGCTGCCGGTCGCTCCCGCCCCGCCGCCTCTCCGCGCACCCGCCCGCGGCTGCGCCGGCCCCGCCGGCAGGGGACAGCCAATGGCGGCGCCGTGCGGGCGGCCCCGAGCCGCCCTGCGCCGGCACCGGGCACACCGGAGCCTCCCTCCGACCGGGACACCGCGGAGCTGTGCCTGGGAGGGGTCCGCCGGCGCCTTCCGCCTCTCCGTTAGCAGCCTGTAAGGCTTACTATGCTGAGAGGTACGCCTGCCGTCGTGATTTTTAGGGAAGGAGGTCGCTTCGGCTTCCAGAGTACGGAATGCACTTAAGAAAATACGGGGCATACGTTTCCAAAGGGGCAGAATTCGCGTCTGGGGCTGGCGGTTCCCAACAGGCAGGTCAAAGCCACTGGATGTAGTTTAAACACCTGAAAATTAGACACGAAAGTCACAGGTGATCACCTGGGGCAGCCTGGGCATCCAGCTTGGACTCGTGATCTCCTGTAAGATGCACCTCCTCTGGGGTCACTGATAACTGACTTAGAGATCACTTTTCTACTTATATAGAAAACAAAAGCCAGTTTAGATCTGCAAAGTTTCTCACGTATAGTTGTGGGTCATTTAAATTACTTCTGTGGGATTATAATATCAGAATGCTTTTGTGGTGATTGACTCACACTTGGTCTCTACAATCACTAAATTGTGGCAAACAAGTCCACAAAGGGAAAAATGAGCTATGGGCTTCCCTGTCCTCGTTACGAAGTTTCAGGATACACCACTTTGCCACCAGGGACAATTTGCTTATGTGGCGGGAGAAAAATCTTACCAAGCATCATTAGTGTCAGGAAAGTATAGGTCAAAATGTTGGGTGCCCATCCCCCTCTTCAACCCTGGGAGCCTCTGGTGCATGGAGCTGCTTTGCTTTTGGATGGGAAAGCAACAGCTTTTGTGCCTATACTCCCTGACAAGAGTGGGACTACCCAGACAGAACTCTGCTATGATGTCTGCACGCAGGGGCTGTGTCATCACCAAAGAGTCGAGCTGCATGAGTGACATCCACGTCATGCTCATTCAGGCATGCGAATGTATGAAGTACTGACGTGTGACCTGAGCAGCTGGGTTTTCAGCAGAGCTGCACTCCCCTGCCTCTTGTAGGGATATTTCCATGTTTTCTGTGTGCTATCTGTTCCACTGCCTGCCTCTTGTAGGGATATTTCCATGTTTTCTGTGTGCTATCAGGACCATACTAGGGTTCATATAATCATATAATCACAGAATGGTTTGGGTTGGAAGGGACCTTAAAGATTATCTAGTTCCAACTCCCTGCAATGAGTGGTGACACCTTCCGCTAGACCAGGTGCACAAAGGCCTGTCCAACCTGGCCTTGAATGTTTCCGGGATGGGGCGTCTACCACCTCCTGGGCAACTTGTGCCAGTGTTTCACAAGCCTCATCATAAAAAACTTTTTCCTTATATCAAGTTTGAATTGACCCTCTTTTAGTTTAAAACCACTGGGTTTTAATAACATTGGGTTGTTGCCCAAGAGACCATGCAAGACATGGGCCAACTTCCCAAGCACGTTGCAGGGCGCTGTATGGTCATTTTTGAGTGTTATGAGCACAGAGTGATTCTCTTGCCAATACGGTTCTACTGCTGGTTTTCTACTTAGTTCCTCTTAATTCCACCTTAAATGTTCCTAGGCATGTAGGTCTGAACTCCTACATGCAGTTCATACACAGATGTGTAAGAATGTATGTGATATCGTTACATATTTAAGTGCTTCGTGGAAGGCTAATTCCTTTTGACAATGAGTCTTAGCAATAAGCCAATAGATGAATTTAGTAATGAGATTAAAGTCTCATTCTCATCCCCATATTGACAAATTTGTCCTAATTTTTTTCCTTCGGGTTTTTCCTTGGAGTTTTATGACACTGTATAATGTAACAATATATATTCACATGCCTCCATGCATTTTAATTCATGCTTGTTCCAATTTCTTGTACCTTGTATCTGTTTATCTTTAAAAGCTTACAAAAAAACTCTCTGCCATGTTTTGTTTGCATTAATTTAAAATAATGAGAAGACTGAATACACATGAATATCATTAAGAGTGGTTTTATTAAGCAACTCAAATTAGTTTCTTTATCAAAGTTGTTTATTCATTCCTTGCCACATGCAAAAGCCACTAGTACGAGCAGATACATTGTTTTGTCTCTAGACAATAGCTTTGTGTTTAGAGTTGATATGCAAAACCAATATTGAAAAATATTGATTCTTTTGGATGGAAATAATGTTTTTAAACATAAATAAATAAATAAACAAATATTTTCCTTCCACATAAAATTCCCTAGGTTTTGAAGGCATGCCTGAAAGATAAACCTGGACACTTTTGATAGAACATTTTTCATTTTCAACCAGTTTTCTCCCCCTGTCACTGACAAAGGAAAATGTGAAAGTTGATTTTCTACAAAGTGCATGTCACAAGAAATTTCTCATGAAAAATCACAGCAACCCTTTTCAGTGAGATACTTCTTGTGAATCCTGGGTGATAACAATGACATTTAGAGTCAGAGAAGAGCCTTCCCAGGGTCAGAAAACATTGTGATCAACAATATTTTTCAACCTTGTCTCCCCTTTGATAAGATACATTAACATAGCAGCTGCACTGTTATGTGATAGTTTCAAATGTACTTAGGTCACATATTAAATACACTTAAGTTTAAAATATGTTTATGTTGTTTGAAATATTTATGTATCTTGGAGCTAGCTCATATTTATGGATACACTCTTACAATGTTCAAAGAAGAGAGAGCCATTGCATTTTTTCTTTCTGGAAAGCAGAGTGAAAGGTAGCATATTACGAGAACCCCAAGCAAACCAGCTTTGCCCCTGGCCCAGCACAGGCTTGGAGCAATAAAACTGAATAAAACCAGACACAGCAGCACCCGTCCCTTAGCCTGTCAGTTGGCATCAGTGTCTCTCTGGCATCAATGCATAAGGCAAGAGAAGCAAATCCTGCACACACTAAGCCTTAGCTGACACTGTGAGTTTTTCCATGGAAGGGGTGTTTTATGAAACACATCTGAGGCAGTTGGTATTTAAAGTTATCACTAAATAGAGAACAGTTGAATATTAAGTGGAGGATGGCAGACTGTGTCTCACACTGTTTATATTAATAAGAGATGTGTCTGGGGCACATTTTCTGGCTGCTGGAGACTGGAAAGCCAGTAAATGAGAGCTACTGCAATGTGACTGCAGGTAAAAAGTATAAAGCGTGCAAAGCAACGCTTAGGTCATTGCTGTCTACTGCTCCCACCTCATTCCCCATGTCAGTGACACTCCTTTGATTTATAGTGGTCAAAGGGCAAAAGCGGAGTTAATGGCAGTGGAAGGTAAAAGGCAAGGAGAAGAGAGGAGGAGAAGGGGAAGCTCAAGCCCCAACACAAATTAGAAGACCATTTTGGACATCCACAACACATCCTGTGTCTCAGGACTAAGATCTCTCCCCTGTAGCAGTTCTCAGTCCTGGGCTCAGGTGTTGCCTGAAAAGCAGGAGCAGCCCAGATCAGAGCGCTTTGGTCTTGCTGTGACATACTGAGCGGTGCCACTGGGTGTCCTGTTTGCTGCATTTGAGTGATGTAAAGCACCCACTAAGTGGAAATAAACAGTTTCAAACCAGCTGTCTCCACTAGGGAACTTTCAGGCCTTCGAGATGAAGTCAGTGAGGTCACAATTCACTCTCAGTTTCTGTACGGTAGAAGATACATGCATGCCTGCACATCTTCAGGTAAAACTTGAAGACTCAGGGCTCGAGTGCTATATAGCAAAGTTTGATAGTGGCAGTCCCCCATCAGTTTTGTGTCCTCTTTTAGCCTCTTCCACCACTGCCAGATTGCTTAGCATTCTTTCCCACCCCTGTAGTTCCAGGTTGTTTGCTTCATTAAACAGCTTAGCAGCTTAGTCAGAAAACATCTTCGTCCTAAAATACATCAGTCATAATTGTCATTGGTGGCTTTATTTTTTAGTAGAACTGTTTTTCAAATCCCATGTGTACCACTTTCCAGGTTGAAGAGCCATCATGGACCAAACCAGGGCTGTGTATTTTACATCTCAGTTTCCAGTTGACATATGGAGAGCCTTATTATAATAAGGAGCAGAAGAAAAGTGATGGAATAACACAGTGAGAACAAGAGATTAAAGGGAGGACAAATGCAATGTGCATTACACCAGGCAGTGCCAATGGAGAAGATATAAGCAATGTCATGCTTCCATTGCTTCTTATGCCCTTTTGTCCCTGCAGTACATCTAAGTGTACTAAGTAACTTCTTTTTTTTTTTAATAACACCTCTGACATGCCTAACACATGTAAAAATAAAAAAAATCCAACCGAAGTTTGGTACCTAATATATGTAATAGTGTATTAAAATGGTGAGATAAAATATTGTGATTAAAAAAGACTGATCTATTTACCATGCTGTCTGAGGGATGAAATTAATTGAATGATATATAAAAGGAGGGGGAAGAACCAGAGTTTTCACAGTAAAATACAGCTACAACATTGCAGAGGAAATGAGTTAACTCCTTGAACAACTCTGCTTGATCCAGAGTAAGACCCTTTCAATTTTGAAGTCTTTTATGAATGAACATATGTTACATGTGCTAAAGTAAACTCTGCACTCAGTAAAAGGTTCTTACTGTTGGTTCTGTCATGTATAAATTGGATAAATGTTCCCACAGTCTTCCCCTGTAACCGCAGTCATAGCTTGCAGTTGTAAAACTGCATCCCTTGGTGGTCGCAAAACACTTCACAAACCAACCAAGCTCATACACAGTCACTTCACCCAACATAGGGAGAGGTCAAGGCACTTCTTTAAGTACTTTATCCATTTACAGGCAGCATTAATACAATCCCTCTCACTCATAAGCATATTAATCCACAGAATTTTCCTTTGGGAAAATACTGTTAGCCTACTCTCATATGTAGCTAGCTTTGGTCATGGAAAAGCCCTTTCACCTAATCTAAAGGTGAACCCAAAAAGGGTTTAAAGCCTTACATATCCATGTTATTTTAAGGAAATTCCAGCAATGGTCCATCCCTGGTGGTGTTTAAGGTCCGGTTGGACAAAGCCTTGTGTGACATGGTTTAGTGTGAGGTTTCCCTGCTCATGGCAGGAGGGTTGGAACTAGATGATCTTAAGGTCCTTTCCAACCCTAACTATTCTATGATTCTATCTGTGTGTCACTGGGATCCTCAAAACTCTCTCTGCTGTCTCCCTGCCCTGTAGATGCCTAAATCAATCAGGGCAAAGTCTTTGTTGCTGTGGTGCCAAGGCTTAACACGTCTACCCATGGGTTCAAACACCATCATGGATCTATTGTGGTCTAGCAGCTGAGAGACTTAGTGACTGCTTATGTCCTGTGAATTCTTCTGCTCATTCTCATACATGGGCTCTCTCAGAGCACACATGCCAGATTAGGAAGCCTATGAAAGGTCACCGATTACTGGACTTGTGACAGAGCACTGCCTGTTACCTGCTACATATAATTTATATCCCAATAGTTGAGCTACTCAACTGGCAAGTGCGTGAGGCCATTTCCTTCTTTCCTTGATTTGGAGCAAAGGTTTCAAATCAGATTTCTTGCTTCCCAGCACAGCAGTTGTAATGTGGGTGCTGTAGTTCATTGTCACTCAGATTCTGCTGATGACAATGGGTTTATTTTGCTTACTTAATTAGAAATTTACTGAAGATAGTAGCCAGAAGATAGTAATTCTATAATTTAGGGTCCATGTATCTAGGAAGTGGGGGATACCATGTGAATTTTTAGTTGGAAGGATATAAATAGGGAAGGTTGAAAATGTCCCACCTTCAATGATGGTGAAGGTGTTCTCTGGAGATCACAGAATCACAGAATGGTTTGTGTTGGAAGGGACCTTAAAGATCATTTAGTTCCACCCCCCTGTTATGACCCAGCAACCTTCCACTACACCAGGTTGCTCCAAGCCCCATCCCATCCAGCAACCAATTTTGATGTATTTTTCTGAGATGGCAGCAGACATGCTCTATGTTTTCAGTGTCTACTAAGCTCTAGCAGTGTTTTGAGCTGGACAGCTTCTCAAAATCTGTTTGGCTGCAAGGAAGATGGAAACACAAAAAAATCACTGCTCATCATAGAGCTCCTTTTAAATGTAACTGTCCAACTCTATCTATCATGGACACAGCTGCTAGTGCTTCAGGAGATGCATCTATCAGTCAAACACCATAACACTGCAGAGATCACCTGCAGAGCACAGTGCCAAAACTTGTAACATACGGACGTGCAACATACAAAGCCTGTCATCTTCTGTCTAAGATTTTAATGGTAAGTTGGATGAGATAGTGATTGCTTCCTTCCTAAGGATTTCTTGTGTCTGTGAAATACTCTGAAGATACAGCTAGCAGTTGCTCAATTTTCCTTATCAGTGGTTGCAAAGTTTAGCCTCTTTCTTTATGTAATCTCTTAAGATCTGACTGAAGACAACATTTTATCTTCCTATATATTAATGGATATTAATGGAAGAGATCTTGTATGGTCTCTCTAGCAGTTACTGGTGAGTGAGGTCTGCACATTGCCTTTCCACGCCACTGCTGAGATGCCTGGTGGTTTTCTATGATTCTGAGGAGCTTAAAGTCTTTCCCATATTCCTTAGCATGTGGGTCTGCAGTTTAGTTCTTGATGAACATGTGATAGCTGAAGGAGACTGCTGGAGTACAGGCGGTCTAAGGGTTCCCCAGGGTGATTGCGTTTTACTGTTGTAAGCGCCAGAAATATGCAAATCTGGGAAGACTGATAAACGTGTTTCTAGCACAGCTAGACAAACAAGCAAACAGCTTGTTTGCTTTACCCTCTAAGTATTTTCAGATCTCCTTCAGTATTGTGATGCAAGAGCTCCTTTTGGAGTTCAGATGGGAAAATGAACTAATTTATCAAGACAGTTTCCCTGCCAAGGACAAACCTCTACATTTAATAGCCATCAGTCACTCTGTCTCTGAGGTGTGGTGGTTTGTCCTGTCACTTTCTAAAGGGCTTTTGTTCAGATCAGATGTAAAAGGCAAATATCTTCCAAGCTTAAAAGGGAGCCTGCAGTCTGCTCTGTATGTATGTTTCCTTTGCTTAGCTTTAGGAGTTAGCACAGGCTCTTCCCAACTATCTTATTTGGCTAACAAGAGAGTTAAATAGTGTAGATGTGGTGAAATCACATCTGTTTTTATCTCCAGGCCAGAGAGTAAATGTGAGCCCACCAATGCAACGCTGAGTCCTCAGTATAAATTTAATTCATTGTCTGTTTGACCATCTCTAGCTTTTCACTGTAATATGCAACAGTTTTATACATAAACTAATGCTGAGTTTGGCTGAGTCTATTTGATAATTTTCTGCTTGGTTTAGGCAGATGAGTAAGTTTCTCTTACACTACGGAGCTGTGTTTTAACTAAGCTTGGGAAGACCTGTGTTGTAAGTGGGTTCTCTGACACAGTTGTTTACATTGTGAAGTCGGGCCATGTCCAACAAAACTCATGAATGCCATACCCTTTGCTTCCTAAATGCACCCCAATATCACCTAAGCTCTGCATAACAACAGAAGAGTGTTCCCAATACTTGTGGGATGACCTGACTACGTATTCTTGATTTACAGGCATTTATCTTGAAAGTGATAACAGATTTCTACTCATCTAATTGACTCTGAAGATTAAATAACATCTTTGATAATGAGAGTAAAATGGTTTAGCTGTTCTGTATAATTATATCAATTCCAAAGCTATACAAAACAAATAAACATAAGCCCTGGTATTCAAGCCTCGTTAGGTTTATGTTGCAACAGCTACATTAAACAAAATTACAGATTCAGTCAGATCTTATCATGCTGGTGTTGTGGCAGCTCTGGACAGGATCACACTATTCGTACTGCAGGGCTTTTCTGGGAATCAGGGTCCAGATTCTTCAACAAACAGCTCCACCCCTGCCCTGCAAACATTAACTCAGGTGCTAACAAGATGTTCAACCCCAGCTTAGGATGGGAGATGTCCACTTCTGGCTGCTGGACTGCAAGGATTCCCGTGCCACTCCTGTTTCTTTCTGCAAGAAAGAAGACTCAATGAATGGAAAAGAGATGGAAGTGTTGGAGATTTTAATCATTTATCCCATGTGACTATTCAGTGTCCAGCCAGGAATTTACCTGTCAGAAAACATTTTTCTACCTATTTCTTGTTATTTTCTGTTTTTGCAAGTACAGCTGGTACAGGAGCCTTATTTATGGCATCCTTTCTATAAACCAAGCGGTATGTTTAAGACTTTCTAAGATATCTTTCATAGAGAAAACTAAAAAGGGAAAAACTTACTGTTTTTTTAAAGTAGATGCCCAAGGCTTTTGGGTTTTTACTAGCGCCTGGCTTTCATGGTGGTGAGCTAAATCAAGGGACGGGTTGTGACTTGATGTGTATGAGTAGGCCAGGGAGGGAAGGCGAGCTCTTTGTCCCTTTGTTCCCACACTGACTCCACTTTGGGGACATTCAGCTGCCCTTCTCTGGGACACAGGAGTTCCGCAGGTGCTGCTCAGAGAGATTTCTCCTCTGGAGCCCCTCCAGAGGGTTGCATGGATGTGGCTGCCCCAGGTCTGGTTCCTTCTGCCCCTCATCTTCTACAACCTGCACGCCCAGACAGGCAACCTGTGGTGTGCAGCACTGGTAGTTTACCCTGGCTGACTAAGTACAACCCTTGCTTATCAGATGTTTTGGACAAAATGACCCCTGTCTTGCTCACAGACATGTCAGTTGTCACAGGAGTAACACAGAAGTCTGGGGCAGAGGGACGGAGGGGCTTGAGGTGGGTGTAGATTTGCTGTTGTTGTAGTATAGGTAGCAGTGGTCTGCTTTCACTTGCTGGTGCCCCTGTATACCTTGGGCATTGGAGTCAGCCCCATGACCTGAGTGATCCAACAGTGTAGATGTGCATACTTTGCTCAGAGAAGGGGGATAAATGGAGTTGGTACAGATCGTACCATCGGAAATTCAGGTTGGATGCAACCTTAGAAGATCTTTAGTTCAACCTCCTGCTCCAAGCAGTGTCAGCTGTGACACCAGAGCAGGTTAGGGCCTAGAAGTAAAAATAGTTATGAGGATGGATTATATAAAGACCCAACCGATTTCACAGAACAAGAGGAACAAGGAAAAAAAAATATAAATTAATATCTGATAATTTGATATTCATGAACACCTATTTAATTTCAGTTTTTTCCATGATCCATTTGTGAAATTTTTCTATATAGATTTTAGCTTCTGGATCATGTATTGAATTGGTCTGGAAATTACCTAGAACATCCTTAGGCACAAAATAAGAAAATTATATCAATATTAAAATCAACTGACACACAAAGAAATGTGATGTGCTGTTTATTTACAGTCTAAAGCAATTATTTATCCCCAGTGAAAGTCAGCCTTCACTGGAGGGAAAAATAAGCTCAGTTTATTGCTCTTTGGCTTTGAATAGAAAGTCTCTGTTATGTTAGTAGCAGCTGAACTGAGAGGGAGACCTGTAATGTACACCTAGTTGATCTAATTTCTTGTTATGGAAAGTTAAAGAGTAACTGCAGTAGTAATTACAAATTAAGTTCCTCCTTAGACAATGGCCTCTATTACTACATTTGCTAACCCCCCCAAAAAAAACTTCACCCCCTCACAGAACCACCTTTAAAATGATTAAATGATTAAATTATAAATAATTTAATGATTAAATATTATGGGTTGGTTTTGGGATTTATTTTTCACATCACATGAAAATTTTTAATTATTTCATTGACCTGTTTAGGATCTGTGCCCAACATCTTATGATCTTATGAAAGTGATAAGAATTAATACACAAACTCAAGTCATGCAGTATGTTGTAGAAAAAAGATTAACTGAAATCCTAAATCCTTTGGTTTAGGGCTGTTGCTCAGTAATGCATGAACTGATAGTTTTCGTTATTAGCATTCTGGATTAACAGAAAAAAAATATTTCCAAAATCCCATAATTATGAAGTTTTTTAATCCAGGGGTTTGTGCACCCTGTTTGTGTGTGGCTCTCCAATGACCCCAATTACAGAGCAAATGTGATCCTTCCAATTTTGTAACGGCAAGCATCCCACCCAGACTGAACTAAAGCACCTTCCCAGAGGGGAAGTTGCCATGCAAACGGGCACTAGCACAGCTGGTTATGCACAATTTGAGTCTCCTCTTGAGTCTTCAGGTGTCTGTGTGCAGTGTGAGCACTCAGCACCTGGCATGGTCAGCCCTGATGCATGGTTGGGAAAGATGAGGCAGTGGTCGGATTAGCACCGTCTCTTTTCCTGAGCTAAACCCCTCTGAGGCTGGAAGAGCAAAGTCCACCCCTTGAGGACATTTTGCTGAATGGGGGCAGCTTTCGGGGGGGAAAGCATGACTCTGAGGAGTGTGTACCGACCAGGAGCACCTGCAAATACAGCAGCAGCTCTGGATTCATGTGCTTCCTTGTGGTGCTTCGAACTACCCTTGATCTGCTTTCAGCAGAGCCATCGTTTGCTGAAGCATTTGTGAATCACTTGATGCTTGCACAGACTTGTTGAGAACACCAAAGTCATCTGCCAGACCACAGTGTTCCCAGCTTTTCTTTCTTTCCTTCCCTCTTGAGCCTCCTGCTTCAGCCAACTTAAATTGTATGCACATGGCAGGGGTGAAGAGATAGGCTACAGATCGTGAAAAATAACAGCATATCCTCCTCATCATTTTTCATGCAAAAATGAAGACTTTCTGTATGATGTATCATTGAACGTTAAGTTATAAACAGCTCCAGTCCCCACTGGCTTCAGAGATAAGGACACGCAGCACCAGGCAAGTTAGTTTGCTCAGAGATACAATCACTCAAGAAATAAAAATAACTTGAATCCTGTCAAGCTAGCCAAAGACGTCAGTACTTACTGAGCCTTTACAAAAGCTTTTTGAAGAAGATGAATGCTGTAAAGAGATTAACTTATCACTTAACTAATTAGAATTATTATTTTTTAATAATTTAAACAAAATTGTCAAAGTATAATCTTTAACTTCTTAGATGCTTGAAAGTACTGTAGTCAAAGCATGCACACAATGAATTACTATTGTCTTATTTGAGATGATATATATCTATTTTGAATATTATGTAGGCATTTCTAGCACTACTGAATAGTAGATATGACATATCAAAGAGCTAGGTTGCATCTCTGAGCTTTAAGGTCAGCACTCTGCCCTTTATGAGTCAATACCACTTTTGGAAGACTGAGATTATACATTGGTCACAAAATTAATTTATTATGTTTTAAAGGATTTTAGAGATTGAAGAGGGCTGATTGGCAAGGATGTCAGCTGGCAAAATCAACTTTCATTTCCATACTGCTGCACACAGCATGGAATTAAAAAAGACTCAAAATCTTTCCTTTTCCAGAGAAAGAAGACAGATAATAGTCAATGTTTTAATGAACACTTAAACAATTTTACACATAATTTGAAGTAGTGACACTTCCAAATCCTTCTGCTAACAGAGCCATTACCTACTGTGGGTCTCGAGTTTCTAGTTGGTGAGTATAAATACAGCATTACCAAAACTTACCCCTTGGTGAGGGCACCACTTGAAGTCTGTGATCCACATCAGTATCCCCTCACCTTCCAAACAGTCCTGACCTTCTGCAGTGATGAATGCATTTTCTTCCACATGAATAGGAATTTTCCTTCCATTTGAAACTGGACTACTCCTGTACATGAAATATTTCTCTTCTGCCTGTCGCTGAGGGTCTCATGGACAGCAGTGGCATAACACTGTGCAGGTCTGAAGCTTGGCCTGTGACCACTGTTTACACAGCACCAGGTTCTTCGTGGTTCAACATAGCAAATAATGGGCACTGCCCATGGAAATAGGGGCTGTGTTTGACAGCACAACAGCAGCAAGGTTTTGCTTCTTTGCCAGTAAGTCACAATATTTATCCCTGGTTTAGCAATGCGTGGCTTGGGGTAAGGAGTATTAGAATATTGGCAGAGTCATTGGACTAAAGCTTTGCCCTGGGGAAGACTGAAATGCATTTATGGACACATGCGGTTGGTATTTTGTTTGGTTTCAGAGCATATAAGCCCCGCTGTCCACCTTTTCCCCTCCCTTCTCCCTTTCAGCTCTTACTCTCCATTGTCACTCCCTCTTTTCATCCTGTCGATCCCTTGCTGCTGTTTTTGGCCAAGCCTTCAGTAGCCTGCAGGGGAAGTGGTCTCCCTCATCACGCTTGTGCTAATTGGGGCCTGATGAGAGGCATTTGCTTTTCCCTTTGTGCTTATGGCTCCCCAGCTGGGGTCCTGTCTCACTCTCCCCTTTCTGTGTCTCTTGGCTGTTCCAGGAGGAGAGCAGATGCTTCCCTGCTCCCCTGCAGAGAACAGCTGGCCACTATCACTGCCATGTCATGGACCAGAGTGTGCTTTGTGCCACCCACCCAGGACACTTGGAGTCTTCCACCGGGATCCTGCTCTGCAGAGAGAGTCTCGTCTGCAACAGAAGTCATCAGTTTCTCTCTGAGAATAAAAATAAACAGCTGAGTCCTTCTCGGTGTTTAAAACAGGACCTCTCCAAGAGCAGATAGCATGTATATTGAAAAACACACACGTTAGTAGGAGATCGCTGTGAAGATTGCTTTTCCATTTTTAAATATAACATGGAGTCTGAAAAGAGCCATATCTGATGTCAAAGGGTAGGAAGAGCACTCATGCACACAGAGCTCACTTATAGGTGTAATCCATTGCTGTGTCAGCATCAATGTTAATTCAGTTCAGGCATGGTTTTTCAATCCAATCTCCTGATCATCCCCTTTCACAGCACTTTGATTTGCACTTCCAAGTGATCTCAGATTTCCTGGACTGGATCCTTTTTGATAAAAGCATACCAGAGTACCATACAGCTCCTAACAGGTAGGTGGATGAATGTGCCCCACTTCTGCTGCGCTGATTACCTTACCCATGTGTCCCCCAGAGCAGCAGGTTCTGGCCTGGCTTCCCCCCCTGGTGGCAGCAGGAAACTGACCTAAAGCCTCTGATTTCACACTGCCTGGCAGATCTGGTTCCCCCTTCTCCAAAAGCACGGTGAGAACACGTGTGGATATGCACGTGTGCTGTGCTGCAGGGAGAGTGTCTTCAGAGCCTTTCCAAAGACGGCAGCAGCTTCCTTCCCGCTCTGCTCCTGGAAGCAGGATGCTGCCAGGGACTCCCCACTCAGTACAGCTGCAATCCAGTTCATCCTCCAGGTGGTTTCTTCACTCCTTTCAGTTAGATCATTCACCCCTGGGAACAGATCTAGTTTAAAAACATGATATGGGAAATTCTAACTCCATTGTAAGGAGTCACTGAAGTTTTTTGTTTTGCTTGCAAGCAGAGGCATGCTAAGTTGGTCATCTTTAACTCACTGTTTGTAGAGCAGCTTGTGGCCATTTGGTCTATGGTCACTGAGGACACACACAGAGGTTCCCTGACAACTCCACCTTAATTAGGAACTGATCTCAGCTTTCTCACAAGCCAGCAGAAACAGTGCGTTTTTGTCAAGTATGAGGAGTTCTCCCAGGCATGTGGGTTGGAAAAGAAAAAGGATAAAAGAGGGAAAACTCTGTTCTCATTTGGATTTTTTTTTTTAAACCTTAAAACACTGCAGTTGGCTTTAATCATTTTATCACTTAACTGTATCAAAGTAGCTGAGGTTAGTGCAAGGTGCTGAACACTCTTCTTGAACAATGCTTCCTTTGAGCTATTTATCCATGCAGTGCTCTGCTGGAATGCAACCACCAGAAATAGTATCTGATGGGCTTGTGCAAAACCCACTTAAGGTATATTATGTTGTCAAGGCAGATATGTAAACTAGCTCTTTCTAACAGGGGCTGTGTGTTTGATCTTAAATCTTCAAAACTTGGCATGTAAGCTGAAAGGAAAAAACATCACTTGGTCCTTGTCCACATCACTTAGTCTTCGTCCATGTCTTCATTGTGTTCAGTGAACCTTCAGACCAGAAGAATCCGAAATCCTATTATCAATACATTTTAGATAGTCTATTATGTATGCACATATGCTGACTCCATG